TTCAGCATGTTATTTTAGTTATTTTAATTATTATTTTTTCCATATGAATCTTACTAGACTTATCAAATGGAGGCCAGAAATAAACCTGTAAATCAGGGGTGTCAAACTCAAGGCCTGTGGGCCGCATCCGGCCCACAGGGTGCTTAGATCTGGCCCGCAGGCCCACCCAAGAAACAGTGGACTCTCCTGGATACACTGTACTCCATGGTTCAGAGATAGGGAGCTCCTAGTCTTGGTAATGACTAGTGCCCTAAGCGTCTTCCCTTTGTCTTTTTAATTGATTTTTAACAGGGTTTCAACCATTCTTGCTTCTGTTTTAATTAAAAAAATTTTTTTAAAAAAATCTTATACACTGTTTTTGTATTTTAACTTTATTGTACACTACAAAAGTCTCTCTCTGGGGGAGACAGATGGCTCATAAATGTAAAAAAAGAAACAAATACATAGTCTGGAAAGTTGTAGGTTGCTTTTCCAACTATGTGTTGATTTGTCAAGCACTATTGTATACTAGGTTTCACAAAACAGAAAGGGAAGAAAGAGAAGTCAGAGATGGAGCCCTGCAGAGTTAACCTATTCTCTAAAGCACACGAGGGCAGGACAAGAAGCAATGGATGCAAACTAATCAAGGAGGGAAGCAATCTAGAACTAAGGAGAAATTTCTTGATGGTTAGAACAATTCATTGGTGGAATGACTTGCCTTCAGAAGTTGTAGGTGCTCTAATACTGGACGTTTCAAAGAAGAGATTGGACAACCATTTGTCTGAAATGGTTTTGGATTGGACTAGATGATCTCCAAAGTCCCTTCCAGTTATTCTGTTACCGGAGTGCATCTATAGGATCTTGCTGTTTCCATTGGAATGATGGAAACATTATCAAAATGCACGCTCTTTGGATTGTGTGGATCCTGAAAATACCACACAGGATATGCTTTGTGTAAAAACCGAGTATTTCCCTCCCTCAAGGGCAGTGGAAGTCTTGCAAAACCCTGTTATCAAAAACCCTTATTTCCAGCAGAGAAAATATGGAAGGCAACCATGAATTTCCCGCCTGCTGAAAGTCTTCTCATCACTCCAGGCCAAATCTGACTCATCAGAAGCTACGAGGCGGGAAATGTTGCAGAGCCCGTTCTACAACTTTAAAGATGAATCTCCTGGTATGAGTTATAATGCTATGCAGTCGGTACATCTGAATCAATACTGTTCAGAAAAAGCAGTACATTTTTAGGAAAAAAAAGTTCATAAAAGTGGTCTGAAAAACCCCAAAACAAAAATAGCCTGGAGGTAAAAAAATCAAACAAAACAAAAAGTGACACAATGCTTCATGCAATGCACAGCTGAGCCCAGGTGCTGCAGTGAGAGTGAAATCCCCGTTGTGGAACTTATTTTTTGTGACCTTGCCAAGTAAACACTATTTCAACCTAACTTACCATGCTGTAGTGAGATGAAATGAAAAGGGAAGAAGCATGCAGGCAGCCCTAAGCTCCTTAAAAAAATAGGTGGCAAATATACATGTAATAAACAAACACAGAGCTCTGCCCACATTTTCACACCTAAGAGGTAATTTCACAGTGGGAACTGTGCATACTTACAGCAATTAAAATCATGTTGGAGATTATCATCTTACAACCTTTTGTTTAGTGGCCATTCGACATTACAATGGCACTGAAAAACGCTGACCTCCAACTGGTACCCACACTCACGATTGTTGCAACATCCTCACGGTCACATGATCAACAATCGGGTGCTTGGCAACTAGCATCTATTTATGATGGTTGTAACCTCCTGGGGCCATGTGAATGCCATTTGCGACCTTCCTAGCCAGCTTCTGACAAGCAAAGGCAAGGTGGGAAATGGACTTGCTTAACAATCACAAGATTGAGTTAGCATCTGCCGTGATTCCCTTAATAAAAGTGGAAAAAGGTTAAAAAATCAGGCGTGACTCTCTTAAATGAGCCAAGGTGGCGCAGTGGTTAGAGTGCAGTACTGCAGGCTACTTCTGTTGACTGCTGGCTGCCTGTAATTTGGCAGTTCGAATCTCACTGGCTCACGGTTGACTCGGCTTTCCGTCCTTCCGAGGTCAGTAAAATGAGGACCCAGATTGTTGGGGGCAATATGCTGACTCTGTAAACTGCTTAGAGAGGACTGTGTCATGTTGCCGTCATATGACATATCATGATGTTTTTTTCCCTTCACGGGGCTGGGTCTACGGGCCACAAGTTTGACACCACTGTATTATTACTATTTGTAATCACTATTTGATTTTATACTCTTTTGTTTGCCATAACTGTGAGGCCCAAGACAGCAGTATGTCCACCTCTGATCCCTGACACCCATTTAGTACCACTCAGGGAGCACATGTAACTTAAGGGAGGCTATGGACATGAGCGACTTTTGTTCCCCCACGACTGTGTAAGACTGTTCATGACATGCGTTCTCTGGTCCATAAGATGATCTTTATGAATTAAAACAGCACCTCAAATGGATGCAGAAGACTACAGGCAGTTCTCGACTTGAGACCACCACTGAGCCCAAAATTTCTACTGCTAAGTAAGACCATTGTTAAACACATTGTGCCCCATTTTATGACCTTTTTTGCCATAATTAAGCAAATTAAATGAATTGTTAAATGAATCAAGCGGTTGTTAAGCAAATCTGGCTTCCCCCCACTGACTTTATTTGCCAGAAACTCCCTAAGGCCAGGACCCCAGAAAGGCTGGGGTCGACAATCCCAGGACCCCAGAGAGGCTGCAACCATTGTAACCATGCACCCAAAGTTTGATTCCATGAAGTGGGGCTAGAACTCACAGTCTTCTAGTTCCTAGGCTAGCACCTTAACCATTACACCAGATTGGCTCTGTTTAAATTTATCAAACAATGTTCCAGCTGCAATCAGGAATCATTTCACCAAACTTGATTGCAGGAAATATAACTTCAGCAACAGAGTGATCAATGTCTGGAATACTCTACCTGACTCTGTGGTTTCTTCCCCAAACCCCCAAAACTTTAACCTTAGACTGTCTACTATTGACCTCACCTCTTTCCTAAGAGGTCTGTAGGGGGCGTGCATAAGCGCACCAACGTGCTTACCGTCCCTGTCTTATTGTTTCTTTTATTTTTCTTATATGTATTCATTTCATGTATTCATAACTAAGCTTATCCTTATACTTATTATCTTATAAGTGATTGACAAATCAAATAAACAAATAAATAAAATGAAAACTGTTCACAAGCTTGAACAGTTGTAACAGTGGTATTTATACACTACTGGAAAAAGGCTTGAGTGTCCAATGCTAAAATTTGGCTTAATGAAATTTGTAAACCCTCAGGCTTTGAATTTGGTTTATGCTGGAGAAGAGGTAATGGAGGAATGAAGAAGTTCTTGGAAAAAAGGTAAGAAATATAAAGCAGAATCACAGCAGATGGCACCAGCTAGTCAACTTTGGCTGATGTTAGAAGAAACAAGCAAAGCTCAGACCTGCCTAGTATTTGTACTGAAATTCACCCAGCTAGCTTGGAAAGTCAAAATAATATTTTGTTTGCACAACTCGTGGAGTCACCAGGAGTCAATCTGAACTCCAAGGAGGCTTTATCTTTATTTCTAGAATAATAAATAAAGCTGTCCATAAATGTAGCTACCTAATTGTTGAAAAAACTGTAGCCAGATTTGGGGGCTTCACCTCTATTCTTATCCTGCCTGAGGCAGAATTTTGGACAGCTGGAAAACTAGTATCTTCTTTCTTGCTATGCTTTACACGCCGTTCCAGTAAAATTTTCCTCAAGTAAGAATAACCATCAGTGGTGGGATTCAAATAATTTAACAACCGGTTCTCTGCCCTAATGATTTATTCCAAGAACCAGTTCACCAAACTGCTCAGAAACTTAACAACCGGTTCTTTCGTAGTGGTGCGAACTGGCTGAATTTATAACCATGATGATTCATGAACCAGCAAAGCTGTTGATTGCCGTTTTATACAGATGGAAGGAATACACGAGCACACAATAGATGCAAACTTAAGATAAACCGCTCCAAACTCGATTGCAGAAAATACGACTTCAGCAACAGAGTGGTCAATGTCTGGAATGCACTACCTGACTCTGTTGTTACATTCTCAAACCCCCAACACTTTATCCTTAGACTGTCGATCGTTGACTTCACCCCATTCCTAAGAGGTCTGTAAGGGGCGTGCACAAGCCCACCAACATGCCTATCATCCAGTGATGGGATTCAAAAAAAATTACTATTGGTTCTGTGGGTGTAGTTTGATGGGAGTGGTTTGGAGGGTGTGGCAGGGGAAGGTTACTGTAAAATCCCCATTCCCTCCCCACCCCACTAACCAGCTTTCCAGCTCCGTTCTCCTATGCAGGGCAACAAAAGAAGACCCAGCCGATCAGCTGGGACTCGGGAGGCAGAGAATAGATTGGGGTGGGGGGTGGGGCAGTCAGAGGTGGTATTTGCTGGTTCTCCAAACTACTCAAAATTTCCGCTACCGGTTCTCCAGAACTGGTCAGAAGCTCCTGAATGCCACCTCTGCTACCATCCGTTTTAATGTTCCCTTTTATTCGTATCTATTTCATGTATTAATAGTCATGTTTATACTTGTATATATTATCGGATGCATGCTTGACAAAAATAAATAAATAAATAAAAAATCCTCAGAATAATAATAATAATAAAAGATTATTTCAGGGACAGAGGCGAGCCAAGCCGTCTTACCCAGGAGAAAAATCAAAGGATCTTTCGGCCTGGATAAAAGGGAAAAAAGATGCCCAGTTTTTATCCCGACGTTATTATTGTTTACTGCGCAAACAAAGCACAGCAGGCTAAATTGTAAACACGGCCGGGCTGCCCGGGGACGTTCCCGCCACCTTCTTCTTCGGCCTGCCTGATGGGCAGGAGCCCAAACGAGGCAGGCCGAAGGCGGGCGCCGGCTTGGAGAAGAGGAGCGGGTGAAGCGGCAGTGTTGCCCCGCCCTTTCCCCCTCCTCCGGTGCGGCCCTTTCTGCGAGCATCCCGGAGGCGGGCTGGGAGTGAACTCCTCGCCAGCTCGCCATGGAGGGCGTCCGCTCCGCTTCGGTGATGGAAAACGGCCACCCGGCCGCCCCGCCGCCAGCGACCGCAGCCATGGAGGTTTCCCTCCCGCGCTCCTCCTGCGCCTCCAATCTCTGGATCCGCCTGAGGGAGAAACTCTGTACGTGGTGAGTAGCCGAAAGGCGCAAAGAGGCGCTTCGCGAGAACCGGGGAGGGGAACCTGCTGCGGGGAAGGGAGAGGGAGAACCCCGCGGCTTCGAAGCCCCCCGAGGCGAGGGACATTCCCTCCCGCCTCTTCCTCAGCCGCCTTCGGGTTAGCCTGGTTCTTCCAAGCGAAGAGCCGAGGACGCCTTGCGCAGCCGGCGGGACAAGGAGGTCAGCATGGAGGCTGGCAGTTTCCGAGCCTCTCGCACGTGTTTCGCCTGCCCCGGTTTCCTGCCGCCGTTGAACTTCAGAATGGTAGGTTGGTTCGCGTTCCAGGATTAGAATTTCTTTCTTTTCTTTTTTAAAAAAATGCTGAACCTGAAGAGAGGAAAGGTTCACGGACTGGGTTTGAGTCCCGGGAAGGGAGAAGGAGTCTGCTGGCACCCTTTGCACGTGCTCAATTCGTATTCTATTATCCCAAAGGTGTCTCTCCCCCCCCCCCCCCCCCAAATTCCCCACCATCCAGTCAGAGCTGAAGAAACTTCTTGGATGAGAAGTGAAACCTCTTCAAAGAAAAAGCAGAAAGTCCAGTTGCCTCTTGGAAAAAAGCACCTTTGGGACAACCATGACCTGGAGGAAGGGAGTCTCCAACCTAGAATCTGGGGTTCTCCAACCTGGATGACTTCAACTCCCAGGATCCCCCAGCCTGAAAAGCTGGCTGGGGAATTCTGGGAGTTGAAGTCCTCCAGCCTTAACAAGATTGGAGACCCCTGACCTGGATGACTGAGAATCTCCATAGATATCCTGTTCCATTATTTGATAGGTGCCCCGCTCTGAATTCCAATATAGGACACCTGTTTTCTGTGCCTGCTGGAAAACTCATACAGATCATTGTCAACAGCATCGCAGATAGTCCTCAATTTACAACAGCTCATTTATAGTGACCGTTCGAAGTTGCAACAGTGCTGAAAAGAGTGACTTAGGACCGGTTTTTGCCCTTAATGACCGTTGCAGCATCCCTGTGGACCCACGTGATTTACATCTGGATGCTTGACAACTGACTCACATTTATGACGGTTGCGGTGTCCATGTCCATCCTTTTTGCCAACTTCTGGCAAGCAAAGTCAACGGGGAAACCAGATTCATCGAACACACGTGTTACTAATTTAACAATTGCAGTGATTCACTTAACAAACGGGGCAATAGAAGTCGTAAAATAGGGCAAAACTCACTGAACACATTTTTCATTTAACAACATACATTTTGGGCTCAATTGTGGTCATAAGTTGAGGATTACCTGTACAGTGTGTATGTGTGTTTGTGTGTGTAGGAAAAAGGACATGATCACCAGCAGAATACAGTACTGTCCAGGTTGACCTCTTTCTTTTTGAGTTAAAAAGTTCCAGGACCAGATGAGAAATCTTTGGTGTTCCTAACTGCAGAGAGATTTCTGCAGGCCTTGTGTAAATCTCCTTCACATACCGTTTAACTTCTGCTGACTTTGAAGACACAACCACATCTATAGTTTTCTTGGCAATAGTGTGGAAGTGGCTCAATGTTGCCACTGATCACATTGCTTTTTCATAAACTTTTCCTATCTAGTATTGTAATCTTGGTCTTTGCTGGTAGGATAATCCCGGTCTGCATTTACCTTTCAAGGCTACTCAATGCCGACCACATGCTATTGAATCTAGGAGCTATGAGACCTCTGGAAGGAAAGGCAGCGTGAACTGCTGCAGATAAATACCTTAGATGTGTGTCAGAATATCTGAAGGTGTCCAAAGCGTTTTTTAGGATGTCAGATGCTTTGTACTTGAGAAGAAAGGTGGAGAATCTGTGGCTGGATTTTTCAGATGCCCTCAACTACAATTCTCGGTAGCCCCAGTTAAGCAGCCAAATGGAATAATATCCAGAGTTATAATTCAATATTATCTGGAGGGTTACAAGTTCCCAACTCCTGCTTTAGAGATGTCCTAAAAAATGATAATTCAGAGGTTCCAGAAAGCTTGTGAAAGAAGCTACCAATTTTTTATTTCTAGTTATTGCTATGAGGGAGACATGTGGTTAAGAAGTGCTAAATATAAATAAAGCATGAATAATTGCTCCAATTGCTTAGCCATATCTAGACTGAACCAGGGGGTTTCTATTTGGAAAACCAATATCCCTCTTTTTAAAATTATATTTCTTTCCCCAGAGCGAAAGTACTTTTGCAGGAAGCAATGGACTAATAATATTCTCTGGTAGAGAATAAAAATGCATACCCAACCTTCACTTATCTCTTCTTTTCTAACCCTGTAGTTGTAGTTTTTTTTGTTGGATACTAGGAATTGTATAATATATAAATAATATTGAAATAGTTTATTATTGAGTTTGCATATTAGCCATCCCCTCCATTGACTTGAGCCGTGGTGGCTCAGTGATTAGAATGCAGGCTAACTCTGCCCATAATCAGGAGTTCGATCTTGACCGGTTCAAGGATGACTCAGCCTTTTATCCTTCCGAGATTGGTAAATGAGGACCCAGATTGTTGGGGAAATATGCTGATATTGTAAACTGATCAGAGAGTGCTGTAAAGCAGGGGTCTCTAATCCCTGTTCTATAGACCAGCACCGATCCACAGCATGCCAAAAATGGATCCACGCAAACAAGCGAAGCCCCATCCAAAGGATGCAGGCAGCATGCGAAACCACGCCCCCTCCAGTCCATGGGAAAAAATCTGCAAGTAACAGGTCCCTGGTGCCAAAATGGTTGGGGGCCACTGTTGTAAAGTACTGTGGAGAGGTATATAAGTCTTAAGTGCTATGTGACATTGAAAAAAACTAGGAGTATAATATTGGTTTGTAACGAACCAGCTTAAGTAATTTAATATAGCTACTGTGTGTGGGTCCAAGGGGTAATCAACATATCTATGAGCTCTGCCTGAAATCTATATTAACATTACAGAAAGTGCACAGGGTGTCAAATTCAGATTTCATTGAGGGCCGCATCAGGGCTGTGGTTGACTTTGGGGGGCCAGGTGTGGGTGGCTGGCCAGGTGGGTGTGACCAACTGGGTGGGCGTGACCAGCTTGATGCCATCCCCCAAACTGCTGCCATGTTTCCTCTTTGCATTGGGCAGCCTAGGTTGACACCACGCACTGGATGGGGCCAACTGGGTGGGTGTGACCAACTGGGTGGGCATGGCCAGCTTGATGCCACCCCCCAAACTGCTGCTATGCTTCCTCTTTGCTTTGGGTAGATCAGACTGAAATGATGCGGGCCAGCTCCTTAAATTTTTCAAGACGGCCCCACAGGCCAGATCCGACCACATCCTGGCTGCATTCGGCCTGTAGGCCTTCTGTTTGTCACCCCTGGCATAGACTGATTCACAACAGACATACACACAGGGTGGATCTTTTGGATTCCTCACATAATATTCTAAAAATATTGAATGCCACTCTTTTTATGCCAGAGCTGTAATAAGTTTGAAGGTACTTGGTTATTTGTCTTATGGGCTTGTTCACTTGTAAATCCTTAGCGGGTAAATATTATTACAATAATTAACCAGGCTCTTCAAGTCAGCAGGGGTTACAGATTATTGTATCCCAAGAATCTGGAATTCTTCCATCTCTGAAAATCTTTGGATGAATCAAGTTTGTAAAAGTGGTAAAAATAGTATTCATGCACTTTTGTATGCCCAGAAGTTGCCTTACTAATAATAGTCAACTTTAAAAATTTTGAATTTGGTCTCTATCCACTTTTTTTAATGGACTTTTTTTAATGGACTCCTTAAAATCGGCTTTTAATGGACTCCTCTATTCTTTTCCTTTTTTTGGTCTTTTTTTTTTTGGTATAATATAAGATTCCCCCTCCCCCTTTTCTCCCCCTATAGATTTTTATACAATGGATTAGGTTCTTCTTTGAAATATGCACAGTCTTTTAGTTGTATCTCAGGTAGATTACATATAATATTTAACATTAATAATAACAAATGCTAATTGCAATGTTTTTAAAGTGCAATTAAATGGACAGGGAGTTAGAAAAGGAAAGAAGAGAGGTTATTAGGAAAAAGGCAAAAAAATAAAAGAATCACAGCAGATGGCATCATTAGAGTGCAGCAATATTTTAAATTTTTCCATATAAATCCTACTACGATAGCTGTTTTAGAGAAACCATAGGAATTCATAGGAAAATCTCTCCCTTGAAAGCTTAAGCACAAATACTCAGGGACAGTTTGCTGTCTGGGGAATTCTTGGAGTTGAAGTCCACATATCTTTAAAGATGTCAAGGTTTACTAACACTTCTCCCAGCAAGACCTTGATTAATCTATAACCAACTTCTTGCCAGGCGAATAGCCTAGAACAGCTGGAGAATTCTTTGGCCTAAAGGGCATTGTAATTTTATTATTGTTCCACGACTGCCCTGAACGGTCTTTTAAATTAAAAGTAAATAAAATTCAAACCTTTTTCTGAAGATAATTATTGGCATTCTTTTTTTTTTTACATTGATGAATTAAGCAGAAAAATGGATTACAAAAGAAAATCTTTTTCCCATCTGGCAGCCAAGATCTTCCTGCTCCTGTTCTGCTTAAGGAACTTGTTTTGAGACGTGAAAGACTGGATGGCATTACTGTGATTGATATAAGGGCAGAGTAAATGGTTTTAAAGGTCAGGCCTATTATTATGATTAAAGTGATGCTCAAAAATGCAGAAGAGTTTGTCATAATCCAGTGGTCATTTCCCAGATTCCAGTCTTCCCATGGCGAGTTTCAAATCACAAGGATTTTGGTCACAATATAATCCTTTTGGTTCCCTGGTATAAAATCTATGTAACCCATTAGGTGTCAAAAATAATTTGATGGGACATAAGAAAAAAAATCGTGGTATTATATTTTACCCAACTTATGCGAAGATGTTTAACATCAAAAATGATTAGGGGACTGGAGGCTAAAACATATAAAGTATGGTTGCCGGAATTGGGTGTGCCTAGTTTGATGAAGCTGGAAACGACTAGTACATATGTGCAAGGGGAACCTTTACCTTTAC